GAAGGGGTTGGACCAGATGATTTCTAAGTACAGCTATTCAATGCATGACTGAGCCCACATCATGCCCATGATGTGGGTAGCTCCGAGAAGGGGAGTAAGGAATGTGTGCTGAATGACTCATCACTATTTGCATGCCTTTCTCTTCTGGCTTCTTACTTTTTTTTCCTTAAGCCAACTTCAATTGATGCTGTTGAACTGAAGGAGGGATGCTAGCCCTCACTTCTTAGAGGCAGCTCTGAATCACCAGAGGTCATGCTCGTGGAGCCTGAGAGAAGTTCAGAAGCCTGTGCAGGAGGTGCAGCCACGGGGAGCCGGAACACTATGCACCGTGCTCCCTCTGAGCGCTGGAGCCACGAGAGGCCCGGATAACCAGGGCGCCTCTAGTTTCAAGGGGAAACTGTGGACAGCTGATAGCATGCTTGGCCTCACAGAGACAAACTGAGGCACAGGTGAGGGGTTGACAGGGAAGCCCCTGCTTCTGGGTCTGCAGGAAATTAAACCTCAAACTGGTTCCAGCAGCAGCAGGGACGGAGCCTCGGGTTGTTTGAATGGTAAAGGGTGGTGCTTAAATACACGAGCCGCAGGAGAAACGCTGATCTGTAGGAACGGAGGAGGGCGACGCTTGTGGTAGCTCCCTGCAGAAGAAAGGCTGAGGCTCAGATGAGACACGGGCGGAAAAAAAGGAAGGGCCAGGTGGGACAGGAGCTGACCTAATAGGTCTTGTCCATCCCTGTTATTTTAGATCTGTGGGCTGTGTAGAAGGAGTTAGAAAGTCAAACATGAAGAGCCTGGGGCTATAATGGTGGAAGGGCAGAGGTGGGGGATGTCAGATGCAGGCTGGAGAAAGCTTTACAAGTGACCCTCACGTTAAATAAACCCATTATATGAAAATCTGTCTATTTGAACCCAAGAGAACAGGGGGTGATTTCCTCCTCATATCTTTCCAGTTTCCAGGCTGGCTATTAATTAATGCCCCGTGTGATACTTTCCATCTCGGAGCCTCGCTTTCAGCCATCAGACGAGGGGGCTGACCTCTGGCTTCCAGCATCGTTAGCTTCTATACACTTCATAATCTTTGATTCTTGAAATAACCATTGCTTCCCTCAACTGACTCTCCCACCCTGAATAGGATTCATTAAGTGTGATGTGGACGGAGCTTTCTGAAATCCCCATTACTCAAAGTAAGGCACAACTGTGCCCTGTTAGAGTGCTACAGCCCCCACTTCAATCAGAGCCTCTGCTTTCCACAGTCAAAGGCATCACTAGGGTCTCTTTCATCGCCCTGAAGCAGAGTTCCTGGCCACAGGGTGACAGGTGTAGGGTTAGGGCAATTGTCCAGGACCCCAGATCCACTTGCATTTTTTTAAATTAACAATGCGAATTAGCCCCGGGTCACTAGCCCAGGGCAAACCACGGCCTTTGGCATTGGGCAGCAGCTGGCTTGAGGAGGCTCAGCACAACTTTCAAAGGTTCAGAGCTATCAGATGCATCAAGCCCAGAAAACTAGAAAGGGAAGGGGAATATCCAATGGCGATGGATGCTGACATTAGGCAGGCCACTCGAGAACAGCCCTGGAGACAGTGCTGCCACATAAGTAGGGCTGAACTTTGAAACAGAAGAGAGAGGGGGAGGCTGGCAATAAGTTGGGAGGAAGCCTGTTCAAATGTGGGGTGAGAGAATAAAGCCAACAACAAAAGCCACAGCTGCCACTTCCTGAAGGCCTGCTATGTGCGGTGCCGAGCATTTCACCTACACTGTTGCGGGGAGTGTTCCCCGTGACCCTATGAGGCAATGCTACCATCGCTCCCATTTATGAACGAGGAAACAGAGGCACAAAATGGTTTAACAGCCTGTCTACGCCACACAGCTAATACATGGGAGACCCAGGATTTAATGCTTGTCAGTCTGGTTCTAAAATCCATGCTCTGAATTTGTATACCACACAGCCTCACCAAAGGAAGGATCACAGTGCTGTGGGCTCTCCTCCACCCAGAGATCCTGTCTCCCTCCTCCCTTCCTTCCCCAAACACAATCGCTGCCCCACCGTGCAATAGCCAACAGGTGGGAGGTGCTTAAGCTGCAACCCACCTGCCCCCTTACTTTGGGAGGGAAAGAACTGGGCTGGAGCCTTTCAATGAACCTTACCTGGGTAGTGTTTAAAACCCACTGCGGAGGAGCACTCTGGCTTCAGGTGAAAAGCCTTTGGAGTGGGAAGTTCCAGAAGTTCCCTTTTCTAACAAATGCTAATCATACCTCAAACACACTGAGATGTAAAAACTGAACTGAGGGCCACTTGCTAAGAAAATACCTGGTGCCTAAAAGAAGCCCATTAAAAAGATGCCCAAAGTTCTATAAGGTGGAATAAAGATATCTGTTTCCTTTATTTCCCTGATTGATCTGGCTCAATAGTTTAGATATATTGACTTTACTAAGTCAGGCTGCACGGGTCACTAAAGAGGAAATTTACATCTGCTAATGATGCCATCCATCATGGGCAAATCTTGGCTCCCTCATTTCTGCCAGAGAAACCCCAAAGAACCAAAGAAGAGAGGGGCTGGCTTTTCAAAGTATGGACTACTGAACTATTTAGAAATCTGGACCCTTTGTCTGAGACCTGGCCCCCTGGACAAGGAAACACTGTGGACTGGACTGGGGGTTCACAAGGAGTTGTTGCTGGCATTTCTGATTTCATTTGCAAGATACTGGGAAATCTGAATCTCCCTTCCATTATACTGGAAATTAACCTCCATGACAACTAGGATTCTTGTCTGTTCCCTGCTGAATCCTCATGGCCTAGAATAAAATATAATAGGCACTCACTAAACACTTATTGACTGAATGAATACATGAGCGACTATTCTGGCCTTGTTCCTCCATGCCTTCTTGGGGAGGAATCTGTGCCTATAGATCCTGTTGGCCTCAATGGCCCTGTTCTATATGGTATGGCCCTCCCTCAGTCATAGGACCAGGAGGGACCAGGAGTAGACACTCTCTCCAAAGGTAGTTATTAGGCAGCCTGGCCAACACCTGCAACTTGTGAGACTGGCCCCACTGCAAGTCGAGCTGGTCCAATCAGAGCCAGACCTTGGGGACACACACTAAGAGGCACTGGGGGAAGCTGCCACTGATGTGTGCCCTAAAGAGAGACTGAAAACCACCTGAGGGCAGGAGCACATCTGTCTTATTTCCTGCTTTGTTCCCAATGCCTGATATCCTGAATTATGCCTGAGATAGAGTCAATGCTCAATAAAAGTTTCTGAATGAATAAACAGAGAGTACATCAGGTCTGGGTAGTCATTATGGACAAGTACATGATGAATAAACCAGGGAACCCAAACTAAGAGAGAGGGAAGAGCCTGGATCTAACAGCACAGGAGCATGAAGGAAGCTGTGAGAGGGAGAAAGGCTAGGGAGTCTCCAGAGCCACCGCCTGCCTCACTTCTTACCTTTTCTGGATCTCACAATACCCCACATGTGATGCTTGGGCCGGTGTGGATGTACTGATTTTCCTGCAACCCTAACAGCCCAGGCTGGAGCTTTGCTGGATCCTCAGATGGAAGAACAGATGTATTTGAGCAAGTTGTTCTTTTGTTTTGTTTACTTATTTTTGCCACCGAGGGTGGTCAAAGGTTGAAATAAGTTAGAAAGGGAGGAGATGGGGACTCTTCAAAGTTTTAGGGAATAGATACTATTATCTCTGATTTGAGGGGCTCTTCTCCTGCCCTCTGAACTGGAGCTGTTCCATTTCTAGCTTAGCCACAAGCCACCAGCCCACTAACTTGGGCTTAGTCTTGTAAAGTTGTCAAGGTAATACGAACAGCAGGCCAGAGGATTGCAGGGAGGTGTCGTGGACTGTGCGCTGGGCACACAGGGTCCAGGACCAGCTCAGCCATTGACTAGCTCTGTGGTCTGGCAAATGATTCAATGGTTTCGAACCTCAGTTTCTTTTCTAAAGTGGAGGGGATAACACTTAACTCTTAGGTGAGAATTAAAAGCAGTACCCAGCACATAGTAGGGGCTCCATATATGTGACTTGAGCGACCTACTACGTACACCTGTAAAACACCGCAATTCACAGATTTTCCTATATTTAAAATAATTTAAATCTCACAATAGGCTGGGCACAGTGGCTCACGCCTGTCATCTCAGCACTTTAGGAGGCTGAGGTAGGGGGATCACTTGGGGTCAGGAGTTCAAGACCAACCTGGCCAACATGGCGAAACCCCATCTCTCCTAAAAATACAAAAATTATCTGGGCATAGTGGCACACCCCTGTAATCCCAGCTACTAGGGAGGCTGAGGCACGAGAATCACTTGAACACGGGAGGCAGCTGCAGTGAGCTGAGATCACACCACTGCACTCCAGCCTGGGCAACAGAGCAAGACTCTGTCTCAAAAAAAAAAAAAAAAACAAACCTCACAACAACCTACAAGACTTGCAAAATAGAGCCTAGTATTCCTCTTTTAAAGATGAAGAAACTGAGGTTTGGATAGGATAGGATAAGTGACTTACTGACTTATCTGAGGTTACCCAGAGAGTGAGTGGTCAAATTCCATCCCAAGTCCCAGTTTCTCCCACAACACCGCCCTTAGCATAAGAAAGCAAGGTAAGCAGTCAGATGTGTAGTGGCTAAGATACCCTCGGGCTGGCCGTCTCTCTTATCGCATGCACACGAGATTTCATTCAGGGATGTGTGGACAAAATGTCCAGAAGATGAATCAATCAATATATGAAGCAATGAATGAATGAATGAATGAATGAATGAATGAATGAATGGGTATCCTGTCTTAATTCTACTCCACACGTGATTCGCAACAAAACCTGGGAATCTCATCCAGGTTGAGAGCTTCACAGGACCTCCTGGTTCAAGTTCCTCTCCTTCCACTGGAAATATCGATATCAGGTATCTCAGAGGCCTGGTGACTGATGGGTGCAGCTCACACCACCGCTCATCCATCCCCTCAGCAACGGAAGAGGCAGCCCTGCCCAGTCTACGTACTGGTTTCTGCAGTCTCGTACTCGCTGTCTCTGAGAAGCTCAAAGATGTCCACTTCGACCTTGGCCTTGCCCAGCCTCTCAGGAGCGCGGTTGATGCGGTTCTTGGCCAGGGTGATGGAGAGCCGCTCCCCTCTGCTGCACTCCATGGGGTCGTCCAAGATAGCAGCTGTGGGCAGGCAACCACATGGAGACAATTGGTACTCCACCGTTACTGTCACCCTCCTCCTTCTTCAGCCTCCCCCTGCTGCCACCTTCCTCTTCCAGGCAGCGCCCCAAGTCTCTCTCCATCCTGCCATGCTCAGAACCGTCCCCCAGGGCAAATTCTGTCCAAGCTGAAGGGTCTCGGTTTGCAGCCAGGTATACAGCAGTGAATTCTAACGTGGATGCATGCCTCAGGAACCCTGTAATACCAGAGCAGGCCACTAGGGGTCCTGTCTGCACGAGGTCCCCAGGTCCAGGCATCCTGATACTTGGATACCTGTCTCCATGCACACAGGTAAGCAGGCATTGTACAAAGCGAGGCAGGTAGTGGCTGTCCTTTGAAATGGTATTCGGAACATATGAGAAACTCTCCCTGAGGTGAGAGAGGGTTAAAGGATGCCAGGTCTGTGAGGGAGGGCTGTGGTCTCAAGGAGCAGCTGCCAGACACTGCTGAATGCTGGCTCCCCAGGCTCTGACACCGATGGGCCATGCTGCCAACGTGAGCTACTTAGTTTCTCTGAACCTCTTTCCTCACTGAACATTAGAAAGAGTAGGACAACCTCACAGGGTTGGTGTGAGGATTCACTAAGATAATGTATGGAAGTGGCACAGCACACAGATTTAATCAGTGTGACTTACTCAGTGTGGATGACTGCAGTGGTGTAATACCAACAGTTGCCCAACTTCTGGGAGCAGTGTTAAGGATAAGTGTTATGGTATCACAGACAACTGGCGTCCAATCCCAGCTCCAGCCCTCCACAGCTCTGGGACCTCAGTTGCCTCACTTTTAAGGAAGTGGAGAGAGCCTTGGGCTATTGTGAAGATTACAGGATATGGCATGGGCTCAACACAGTATCTTGCATGCAGTAGGCACTCAATAAATCTAGCTACAGAGATTCTTAATTCTCTTGATGCAGATGTTACAAAAATGAAGATCACCAAAAACTTGTACACAAATATAAGCAGCATTATTCATAATTGCCAAAAAGAAACCCAAATGTCCATAAATTGATGGATAAATAAAATGTGGTTTACCCATACAATGGAGTATTATTCAATGATAAAAAATAGCAGGTACTGATACATGCTACAATATGAATGAACCTTAAAAACACTATGCTAAGTGTGGCTGGACACAGTGGCTCATGCCTGTAATCCCAACACTTTGGAAGGCTGAGGTGGGCAGATCACTTGAGGTCAGGAGTTTGAGACCAGCCTGGCCAATATGGTGAAACTCTGTCTCTACTAAAAATACAAAAATTAGCCGGGTGTGGTGGCATGATGTCTGTAATCCCAGCTACTCGGGAGGCTGAGGTAGGAGAATCACTTGAACCCAGGAAGTGGAGGTTGCAGTGAGCTGAGATAGTGTCACCTCACTCCGGCCTGGGTGACAGAGCGAGACTCCATCTCAAAAAACAAACAAACCATTAGGCTAAGTAAAAAAAGCCACACACACACACAAAATACATATTGGACAGTTCCATGAATATGAAATGTCCAGAAGAGCTGAATCCACAGAGGCAGAAAGATTTGTGGTTGCCTAGGGTTAGGAGAAATGGGGAGTGTCTGCTAATGCATGTGGTATTCTTTTTGGGGGTGATGAAATGTTCCTAAAATTGTGATAATGGTTGCACTACTCTGTGAATATATGAAAAAACCACTAAATTATACATTTTAAGGAATTATGTGGTATGCAAGTTATATCTCAATAAAGCCATTATATTAACAGAAATAACAGAAATATCAACCTTATCTTTCAGAGGTTGAGAACTCAGAAAAGCAACACAGGGAATCAAGCCAAATAAATTTCACTGACACATGGCCCTTGAATGTCTGGTGGACACAGAGATCCAGGTTCTATGATGTCCTTTCTGTGCATTGCTCCATACTCACTATAATCCATCCCACAAACCCAACATCAGGACACAGAATATTGCAAAACATTTTTTCCTTGATTTGTGGATTTATTTACATGCATAACTTCATTGAATAATAAAAGTTAAATGTCATTTACTCATGTTGGCCATGCATGGGGCTACAGAGGTACACCCAAGTCCGAGGCAATCTAGTGGACTTCTGGGAATTAACTAGCAAAGTCCACGCACACCTGGGTGATCAGTCACCTGTAGAAGTGACCACAGCACCATAAATGTGACTGAAGAGCCTGGGAACATTTAAATCACCCCCACACCCCCACCTCAGGGAAGCATGACTAGATTGAGGTGGCTACTGAGAGAGTAGAAACCGAGACAGTCACACCGTGGCATAAAAGAATGACAACCTTGGAACTAGAAAGGAAGCAGGGCAGCCTAGAGGAATGCTTCTCAAATGGTGCTCCCTGGCAGGCCCCTGAGTTCCTCCAAGAAGTGGAGGGGAGGCTGCCTGGGATCTCCAGCCCCATACCAGCTCCAACCATCACAATTCCACCTGCATCCATTTTAGGGGGTGGGGTTCCACATAAGAGTTGATGTGGGAAAAAAAGTTTTGCTATTAAAAATACATAGGGGCTGGGCATGGTGGCTCACACCTGTAGTCCCAGCACTTTGGGAGACTGAGGCAGACGAATAAGGTTGGGAGTTCGAGACCAGCCTGACCAACATGGAGGAAACCCCGTCTCTACTAAAAATGCAAAAAAAAAAAAAAAAAAAAAAAAGGCAGGCATGGTAGCGGGCGTCTGTAATCCCAGCTACTCGGGAGGCTGAGGCAGGAGACTCTCTCTTGAACCCGGGAGCTGGAGGTTGCAGTGAGCCGAGATTGTGCCACTGCACTCCAGCCTAGGCAGCAAGAGCAAAACTCTGCCTCAAAACATATATATATAAAAAATAGGAAAAAATCAGCCAAGCTGTAGAACAAGGAAAAGAGACATCTAAAGTGTCAGGAACTGGCAGTGCCATCCAGCATAAGTTAGACAGACACTGGATCCATGACACACGAGCTTTACATTAAGCTACAATGTCAGCATAACCACTTAGTGGACACTATCTCACTTAATCTCTGTAACAATTCCGTGAGGCGGATGTTTTATCTTCACTTGGACACGAGGAGTTGGAGGTCAGAGAGGTCATGATCTGCCCGTTCTCACAGGTTTGAAGCATGACAGAGGAGGGAGATGAGCCCAGGTCAGTCTGACTCCAGACCCTGCACCCTGGCCACAGCTTGTCTTCCTTTTTTAAAAAAAAAACTCAAGGATTTGCTGCTAAGCAGGGGTGCGCTAGGGAGCGTGCATGAGCCTTCTAGGGACTGTAAAGGAAGCCTCCTTTTACAGACTGTAAAGGAACCCTAAAACACCAATAGCAACAGGCTTGCCCCTGGACCTCTGAAAACTCTCTCAGGGAACTTCCCCTCCTCCCTTCTCCCTGTCCTCCCTCCACCCCAGTGACACGGTGTTTAGACTGTGGAGGCAGCTATCCTTCCCTCTGGGCCAAATGAGCTCACTGTTACAACGTTTCCATCTACAACCTACTAACTATTTAACAATCACTTGTAATAAGATAAATAAAGTAGTAAAATAATCTCTCAGAAAATGAGCATGTCCACTGCAGGTCTGGGAACTGGGAATGTTTTGATGTAGTTGTTCATGTTTCAGAGTCACGCTGGGCCTGCCTCTGCCTCATCAGTGTACAAAGGCCACAATTACACCTGCACCACAGGAGGCAGCACACACCAAAGGGTCTGCGCTGGAGCCTAGCAGTTCCATCTATTCCCACTTCGTTTTGGCAAAGTAAACATTCAAGAGTGTGCTATGGACTTCAGCAGGTCCCCCCAAATTCATATATTGAAGTTCTAACCCCTAATATTACTGCCTTAAAAAATAGGGTCTGTAGGACAAAACTAAGGTTTAAATAAGGTCATCAGGATGGGACCTTGATCTGATAGGATCAGTGTCCTTATAAGAACAGACACCAGTGCCTCATGCCTGTACCAGAACTTTGGGAGGCCGAGGCAGGCGGATCACTTGATGTCAGGAGTTCAACACCAGCCTGGCCAACATGGTGAAATCCCGTCTCTACTAAAAATACAAAAAAAATTATCCAGGCATGGTAGTGTGTGCCTGTAATCCCTGCTACTGGGGAGGGTGAGACACAAGAACCACTTGAATCCAGGAGGCGGAGGCTGCAGTAAGCCAACAGGATCATACCACCGCACTCCAGCCTGGGCAACAGAGTAAGACTCTGTCTCAAAAAAAAAAAAAAAAAAAAAAAAAAGCCTGGCACAGCGGCTCACACCTGTAATCCCAGCGCTTTGGGAGTCTGAGGCGGGTGGATCACCTGAGGTCAGGAGTTCGAGACCATCCTGGCCAACGTGGTGAAACCCCATCTCTACTAAAAACACAAAAAATAGCCAGGGCACCTGTAATCCCAGCTACTCGGGAGACTGAGGCAGGAAAACTAGGAGGCAGAGGTTGCAGTGAGCTGAGATTGTGCCACTACACTCCAGCCTGGGTGACAACAGGGCAAGACTCCATCTCCAAAAAAAAAAAAAAAGAGAGAGAGACACCAGAGCTCACTCTCTTTTTCTCTCTGCCACGTGAGGATAGAACAAGATGGCTATCTGCAAACCAGGGAGAGGGTCCTCATCAGGAAGCGAATTGCCTGACACCGTGATCTTGGACTCCCAGCCCCCAGAACACTGAGTAACATTTCTGCTGTGTAAGCCACCCAGTCTGCAGTGTTTTGCTATGGTGGCCTGGACACCAGTCTGCCATGTAACAGCATACAGTCGGCTCACAGAGCATCACTGCACACACCTTGAGATAGAGGGATAATAAGCAGGTGGGAAATAGGGAACGTGGGAATCTTATAGTAAGGGGAGGATGAGGTCCTCTCTTCACCCCATTCCTCTTTCCCTGCCCACAGCATCTAATTCAGAACTCTGTGCTCCAAGTTATTCTGCAGGTCATTGCCAACTCACTAAGATCTAAAATCTTGTCCTCTCTACCTCCCAATCCCCGTGCCATTCAGGGAC